GCCCCTTAATTTCACTACATTTGTACCTTTGGGGTAAATACCTAGTAGTGCAATTGCTGGGTCATAAGTTTGCTTTATTCTTAACATCTTGGGGAACCTCCATACTGTTTTCCAGAGTGGCTGCACCAGCTTGCATTCCCACCAACGGTGTAAGAGGGGTCCCCTTTCTCCACATTCTAGCCAACATTTGCTGTTTCCTGTTTTGTTAAATTTTGCCATTCTAACTGATGTAAGGTGGCATCTCATTGTGGTTTTGATTTATATTTTCCTGATGGCTAGTGATTTTCACCATTTTTTCATGTGTCTGTTAGTCATTTGTATGTCTTTTTTGGAGAAGTGTCTGTTTATGTCTTCTGCCCATTTTTTGACTGGGTTATTAGTTTCTACCTGGTAAGCTCCAATTTCTTTAAGGATCAACTCAAGGCAACACCCCCCCCCCAACGATGTCTTCTTTGACACCCTCATGACAGTCAGTAGTTCTATAAAAAGCACTCTTCACACTGTATTATAATCATCTATTCATTTTTTCCCCAGCTGAAAGTGAATGAACTGAGGACATAAATGCTATATTTTATTCACCATAACATCTACAATATCAAGCACAAAGCCTGGATCACAAAAATGTTTAGCAAACAGAATGTACCAACTTACAATTGCTTAGTCGGATTTTTTCTCTGCCCATGTTGAGACACCAAATGAGATGGGTTCAAGTGAAGAGTTTTTTTTTTTAATTGAGATGTAATTAGCATAAAACATCATATTCATTTCAGGTGTATGGCATAATGATTTGATATTTATATACATTGAAAAATTATTACCATAAGTCTAGTTAACATCTGTCACTACACATTGTTATAATTATTTCCATTTTTTCTTATGAAAACTTTAAAGATCTACTCTGTTAGCAACATTCAAATACATAATACAGGATTATTGAGTAACTAGAGATTTTGTAAGCTATAAGTAAGTTAGGATGATACACATTTTCAGATTTGATTCTAACTGGAATAATGATTCTCATTATTCTTAAATGATGGGCTTTTTAATAATGATAATTTACTTAAATGTATTTGTCCCAACATGATTTGCCTGTTAACTCTGTAAGTTTAATGTTGGTCATCAATAATTAAAACAATAACAAATTAGGTCATCTCGTGCTTATTTTTGAGGGTATTTTTTTTTTCTGAAGTGTATAGGAATCAAGGCAAAAACCAATGCAAAAATAGTAATAGTATGTAGAAAAATGCTATATAAGAATCCATTTGAAAATCTGCATTTAATAAATGAGTAACATACAAGAAAGTGAACATGCTGTTACTATACGGATGGAAGAATTTATTAAGCATCTTTTTAAGTATTTTTTTTATCCTGAATGACTGCATGTTAAATCTGTGTTAAACGTTTTAAAACTGAGGTGCTATTGATGCTTTAGGACATTTCAAAGAAGGGAAAAGCACAGTCAAAAGTAAGCAAGAGACTGAGCTGCAAAGCAGACGTTCTACCATTTGCTGAATTTTTGTTAATAAATCTCATCTTTTGAGTTGAGAGAAAAATAACATTTCTCTTCTTTACCAGTAACTTTTTGCAAATAATGCAAATGAACAAAACCTCTCCAACTTTAGGGATGATCTAATGTCATAAATGGAAAGTATGCAACTTCATTTTAAAATACTCATTATCATCTCTATCTATAAGTCCAATTCTCTGGCCCACAGGGACTGTTCTTTAATTAATACTTGACTAGAGTTGAAAATGTTTTCCTTCTCTAAAATTTTGGAACAATATATATTTAACAGATGGTGTCTCCATAGTCTACCTTAGTAAGACTTCTAATTAGTACATCTTTTCTAAACAAAGATTTATGAAGCACCTTTCTCTGTGAGAATTCTTCTTTATATTTTTTGCTGTATTTTTTTTTAATACCAAAGGATCCAAAAAGGGGTCTTTTTTCTGATAAGTTAAAATTCTTCAAATTAAATGGAGTTTTATATAAAATCTGTGGAATACACCTGGTCATTTTTCCCTATTTTTCTGGTAAGAAGATTGGGTCCTTGAGAAGATCAAGGGCAAATAGATAATTGATGATATGGGGGACTTGCCTCTTGATATTTTGCCTCTTTATCATCATGTCAGCATGTATTTTTAAAGTTCTTTACCAAATAGCCAAATTCAGCTTTGATCTTGCTGGCCATTTTATATGAATTCGAGACAGGTTTCTGGGCTCAGTATTGAGACATATGCTTTGACTTATTTTTCCAAAATGGATAATATTATCAGGTTATGCATATTTTCTTGGGACTTATTCCTGGTTTATCAAGAAGAGCATCATATTTGAAACTACAGCCAGGATTTCAATCAGGGTCAAAGAACTTTCTCCCCAAAGGAACTTAAATTGACCATAGGATAATATTATTCTATAGTCTTAGCCCCATTAGCTGTATGCTTTCTTGAGCAACTCACCAAAATAACTTAGTTGAAGCTCTGGAACATGATTCACTCAGTTGTATAATGAAATGTGAGCCATTTAGGTGTGTGTGTGTGTGTGTGTGTGAGAGAGAGAGAGAGAGAGAGAGAGAGAGAGTGTTGATCCAGAAACATATAGCAGAGCCATTTCAAAAAGTAATAATGGTAGATAGAATCACAGACACAAAATTGGAAAGCACTTTAGGAATGATCAGACTCTTTGTGAATCTCTCATCACCCTTCCTTACAGGTGATGGCTCAACCTGCATACACTTTTACTAACATAATCTCATTTTCTCCAGTCCTGGAGAGGTTCCCTTGTTAGGAAGTTATTTTTTATTCTGAATAAAAACTTACCTGTAGCTTTCATCTTAGTCCAAGATCCCATAAACAAAGAATTAACCAATCTTAACCAAGCAAAAAGTGAGGGTCCTGGAAGTTCCTGTTTCAATGGGTAATATTTTTGTCTACTATATTTTCTTTCTATATTCTTTGGTTCCCATCATGATTCATGCCACAAGATGGCTTAGACTGAATGGGTCCACAAACGAATACTGATCTCCCCAGCTTGGAGACGGATCTGCTGCTATCAACCAGAGGGTGTGGGAGCATGGTCTAATTTGGCATGCAGGACATAGAATCTGAACAGAATGAACAACAAGCAATAAAAAGAAGTCCTGGCAGGACCTCAGAAGCAGGGATGCCCATGACATTCTTGACATCTAAAGATACATCTATTCAGATGAGCATCACAAATTGAAGGTAATGATATTTATGGCTACTTTGGCAAAGGTTAGATCCCAACCTTTAGAAAACTCAGACTATTCTTCACAAATACAGATTTTGTGGGGACTGAGTTTGTATTCTTTGAAATTATGAGTCTCAAAATTTCCCCACTAATGTGAGCCCTGTCCATTAGCTGTCTCTGACTTCACTTTCTCGTGGAAAGTTTCTTTCACATTCTCATAAAAATCAGACACACTGACAACTGTGAATCAGTTGAGGGAGATTAGCTCCATTTTAATAAAAGGAGTTTCCTCATAACCCTGGTGACTAGGGTGCCCTGCAAAGATCTTGTTGCCTTAAAAAGATTTTCCGATAGTTGAAAAATATTATTTTAAGCTAGAAATTCAATACAGTATCAAAGTGACTAGCACTTTGATTTGAAAAGAAAGGTTAGGATGATGAGAGCTGGGACAGAACGAGTCAAGGAACTAGAGTTCTTGTCCTGCCTTTGTCTTTAGACCTTTGTGTCACCTTTGGTCACACAGAATATTAGAATCCATGAATACAAAGGGAACTTAAAGAGGCATCTGGTTTACCACTGTGGCTAATTTAGCTTTCTCTCAAACTATAAAGTTTCTTTAACCCAGTACCTATAGGATCATAACATCAGCATTTTAGAAACAATATAAATAATCTTTCCCCAAGGAGCAATTATGGAGGTGATCACATCTGTGAGGAGGACAGATATTTTCTTGCCTTCACATTTTTTCTTTTTTGTATTAATGATCAGGCTTTAAAAGAATGCAAAAAACATTTAAGAGCAAAGTCGTACAGGTAGTACATTGCTCAGTTGTCTGTGATGATTACTAAGGTTGGGAAAGAGAAAAGGGACAGGGGAGTAGGTTGTTTACACAGTTTTTGATTAATTCAGATTTTATCTTTTACTGAATCCAAAAATTACAAACAAACAAATTTTGTCTTGCTATGAGACAAAAAAAATGCAGTGAAGAGAGTGGTCAGGAACAATGTATTTTTTTGTGGGCAGCTCTCACATATCATAGAATAATGGGGTAGATACTTGGGAAAGGTGGTGGGCACAGGTGTATATGCCAAATTAGAATTCTCTAAGATTACTGGCAATTTTAAGGCACTAGAAGCTGGAAGATTGCCCTTATGCAAAGATTTACTTGGTAAATGAAATTTTATCTTACCTCAGGACTTTCAGCTAAAAGCCAAGTAATAAAAATATGGAAATTTAAAAATTTGTTTTTGTATTAGTCAGCAGTATTGGACCCTACTATGTGCAATGGCACTATGTTAAAACATCATTCACTCTGGACATACACTAGAAGTTAGGAATAGAATAATTCTTAAAATGTAAAGATTCTTTTTGGTTAAGCAGTCAACACTGTCCTGGAAAACATCAACTCCACAAATGGTTTTAAGAAGAATAATTAAGATTCATAGATATTTGGGAAAATAAAATGTCAACTTTTATAACCTGAATTTTTTTTAACAACCTGAAATTTTTAAAGTTGGTGCTTGTAAGACTTACCTTTTAATAGGTAATGATGAAAAAAATCACCTTCTATCTTAACTTCTTTAGAACAGAATGATAGAATGAGGACATGATTGATGTGAAAGTGAAAAAGCTAAGTGTTTAAATTTAATTAATTTAATAACAATCAATTGTAGGACCATAAACTATTACTTTTTTAATATGAGTTTTTGAATATTAAACTGCAGATAGATTTTTTTAAAGGCAGAAGTAAAAACAGGAAATAATTGGAACTAATTAGCCCAAATCTTACCTGAAGTTGTTTTTTGTTCTCTTTTCTTCTCCACTCTCCCTGAAATGAGAAGTGGCAGGTCAGTTGCAGAGTGTGGGTCGATGAGAACAAGCTATAACTAAGAGGAAACTCCAGTTTATGGCAATTTCTAAACACAATCACTCTTTCGGCTGTGTCCAACATGCTTCTAGAGTTGACTGGGCAGAGGTGAAAGGGGTGAAAAATGCTCTCAAACCAGTTTATGCAAATCAAAAATAAAAGAGGACATCTTAAACATGCTATTAGGTTTTACAAATCTTGTTAGTAACAATAAACTTACAAGGTACAAATCCCCATAGAATGAACTTGGGGATAAACACCCAAATAAAATAAGACCAAGACCTCTTGCAACCTACTGGGGAAAATAAAGGACAGACAATACACTATGAAATGGGATGTGCCCCAAAGGTACAATATGTTTAAAGAATATGAGAAGATCGGGGTGCCTGGGTGGCTCAGTGGGTTAAAGACTCTGCCTTTGGCTCGGGTCATGATCCCAAGGTCCTGGGATCAAGCCCCACATCAGGCTCTCTGCTCAGCAGGGAGCCTGCTTCCTCCTCTCTCTCTCTCTCTCTGTCTGCCTCTCTGCCTACTTGTGATCTCTGTCTGTCAAATAAAATAAAATCTTAAAAAAATATGAGAATTTGAAGTGATTTTTAAGTAATTCAAAGGATGCCCATGAAGTTGTAAAGAAAATGTTATTTGATTTGGACCTTGAAAGATACATGGGATCTGGGAAATTTGAAATAGGGTAAGTATTGATTCTTGGGAAAAGAAATAGTATGGGGTATGTAGGACAAGACCTTCTGAGCAAGAGCCATGTTTAAAGCTTGCTTTGGGAACTGTAGTTTTGCTCAGGAGAAGGGCTATTCCAAGAGTTTAGATAAGAGGTAATGGACGGAGTATGACAATGGGAGTAGGGAGGTAGAAAGGTGGAACTTATAAGACCCAGGGTCTTACAAAATGTAAAGTACAAGGGAAAAGGAAAGGTCAAGATGAAGGTTTCATGGGTGACTTTGGACATGATGATTCAATCTGGGGAAATGGTAAAATGTGTTGGGGGCATGGGGACAACAAGTTCAGTTTAAGACTTAACTGAGTTTTAGGTGTTACAGCAATGTGGATCTTGGGAGAGAGATCAGAATCGAAATTACAATGTAGAGAAGGTTTGTTTTGAGAAGATGGCTGGGGCTGAGGCGGGGAATGAGAACATAAAGGCAGGCAGCACAAAGGGCTGGGCTGAGAAGAGTGGATAAGAGAACAAAAATGCTCCTTCTAAAACTGTGACATAGGACCATGAGAAAACAGAAGCAGCAGAGTTCCACAAAGCACAGAGTCACGTGCCACAGATAATGTGAGGAAGTAGGGTGGGCACCCACAGCTTCTGATCTGGTGGGTTCACACGGTTGTTGCTATATTGAGAGAGAGAAGGTTTAGCAGAGCAAGGGTGGGGAACACAAGAGACACTGTGTGAGCCTCAAGAGTAGCGAGTGGTGAGGAAGATGGGGTTGAGGAAATGGCTTCTTGTTCAGGAAATTTGGAAGCATGCCAATGAATGAGACAGAGCAACAGTCTAAGTGGGAGCAAACCCCACATTTCTGCTAGGCTATGGGCCACCTCAGTGTGGTTACAGGCTTAGATAAGAAACTCTGCACCAGGGCACAGGTATGTGGAAACACCACCGTGGAGGTGAGAGCCTTGGTTTTGTGATGGTTAAGTGTGGGTGCCCTTCTGGTCATCACATTCTTGTCAGCTTTCAACATTTCCCAGATGGAGCTAGTTACTGAGAGTCTATGCAACACATGCGAGCTGCATGTAAACTTTATTCAAGTTTCTCTACCAGCTCTTCCTGTCTTCTAAAATCTTAAAATATAGGGTGCAAAATGTACAACCTTTCTCTCATGCAGCCGCCAAATGCGTAGAATGCATTTAACTGTCATCTTGATTAAAGGCACATGCTGTTCATTTGGGTGATTTCTTGTTTGATACGATGTTTCAATAATTTAAACAGATAAAGGACATGAATAGTCCATTTAAAGTCTTTATTCATTACCGAGTGTGATGGGGTACCTCCTCATTTAAGTTTTTTTAATTAGGTAAGCCATTGTTTCCTATCTGATTATACATTTTGGTATACTAGATGCCTCAAGCATTTCTACAGATTTTAAAAAATGTTATTCAAGTCCTGAATTATAAAATGTTTAAAGACAAACATCTCCTTGTAATGTAAGAATGAATCGTAAGTCCTGAAAGTTGAGAATGAAAGTATTGGAGATTAATAATATGGTATGGTGGTGAGTCTCCAAGATGCTCCCAATGACCCCTGTCTTTCCTTCTCCTGATAACTGTGTCCTTAAGTGACCCCTCTCACACTGATTAAGACTAAACTTTTGTAATCAATAGGATTTTGTAGAAAGGATGGAATGTGACTCCCAAGGTTGGGTCTTAAGAACCCTGGTGACTCCCATCCTGCACTCTTGGATCACTCTTTCTGAGGGAAGTCAGATAATACATTACGGGGACACTCAAGGAGCCCTATGGAGAGGCCTACCTGATAAGGTACCCAGCTCCTGCCAACTGGCAAATCAATCAGTCTCCCTGACTTTCTCTCTATAAAGTGGGGATCAGAACCTGCTTATCTGGAGTGGGGTGGAAAATAACAAATTCCACATGCAGAACTAGCAGGAAATGGAAGAAATTCACACAAGATATTGGGGTTTGATGTTTCAGAAGGGAGGCTGGAAGGCATCGCTGTAGCCTTTTTTTCACTGAGACCTTAAACAGTCCTCTGTCCCTGTGTTACATGCATGGGCTCCGTAAACTGTAGAGTGCAATATAAATGTTACTGATTAGTTTTATTATGCTGTTAGTTGTGTTATAGGAATCAATTTAGATTTCTATTCTTAGTTACATATACATTAGACCGCAAATTAGAAAAACGAAAACTAGATAAATAAGACAATATGATATTGATTAAGGGACACAGAGAGTACACTGCTTAACTGGAGATGACCTCTATGCTTCTCACTGCGTCCCGTCATCTTGCTCTGAACGAGGGGGATCCTGTCCCTCATTCTCACAGTGTCCACCCTCATAGAAAGAGATGGTTAGGAGACCCATATTTCTAGCTCCAACCTCTATCAAGCTTTTAGGTCTCCTGGAAATCTCTATTTGTATTTTCTACTGCACTACAACACACACCCTTAACTTAAATCACTATATTTCCCTGCAAAACTGCTCATCTTTGGAGTTGTCCTTCAGTCGCTCAGGCCCCCAAACACAAAGCCTCAGAGTCACTGGCTTCTCCCCTTCACTCAACGCCCATGCCTAATGCAACCCTCAGACTACTCCATTCTTTTTCCACAGGGCCTTTGGAGCTATACTTTCCTTTTTTCACTGTCCCCGCCCTAGTTCACAAACGTGATATGAACTTTCTTCCTGGTGTTATTTCCTACATGGTCCTAAGTGACTTCGTTGATTTTAGAGATGACTTTTCTGTCCTTGAGTTGGATCACTACTAGAGATTTAAATCCACCTGCCCAAATGGGAAAATGATGACCCTGGATGATTTGGCCACAACCTACCTTCTCTACCCTCCCTCAAGCCCCATACATAACACTGACCAGTTATGCCAAAAATCCCACCTTTCATCCCAACGCCCTGTGCAAGCTGTTCCTGCTTCGTGGAATGTCCTGACATGTCAGTCCTGTCTATCAAAAATCTGTTCATCCTTCAGAGCTGAGTCAGATGCCAGCTCTTCTGGGAAGCTTTCTGCTTTGTGCCACCCCCAACTCTCCACTCCCTGCAGAATCACCCTTCTGCTATGCTTGTTCCCTTTATCTGAACCTCTGTCACAGTAGTGACCCCAGTGTTTGGCTCATAATTAGTTGCAAGTTTGTTTCCCCAACTGGACTGTGGCCTCCTTTAGGGTGAGAGATATGTGTACCCTATGACTCTCCCTCTCTACATGCCTCACAGAGCCTTGAACACAAACGCTTGGGACTCAGTCAACACACCCAGAGAGTTAAGAAATGCCCCAGCCTTCCTTAAAATGCTAGGGAACAGGAAGTAAATTTCAGTGCTGTTAACACTGAGTGCAAGTACAACCAAGAACAGAGCTTTTACCAGGTATTTACATTACAAGGGACACCCTGGAAAACTATTCTATTAGGAAAATGGGTGATAAAATAACAGAGAAGCTTTCGGAATAATGAACATGCATTTTTCCCTCATTGTGCTTTAATGGTTAAAGATTCTAGTTTATTTTTTATTTTATTTTTTTTAAAAACAAAACACTAACATATGGTTTGCACCTTACTTCTTTTTAAAGCTGGATGCACATTCCTCCCGTGAGAATAAAAATGGATGGTACTCTCATAAAAATGGAATTTGAAGGGTGAAACTTTTCTCCTGAGAAAATGTATTTAACTCAACATTAACAGTCCACCTGTCATGACCACTTATTTATATAAATCGAGCACTGATATTTTTAAAAGCTCTTTTAGACTTGAGGTTGTTGATATTTTTCCATGGAGGAACATTAAATATATATCAATTTATAGCACATTTCTCTACCTCAGTATGGAAGCAGTAGCTTAATCGCAATGGTTGCTTCTGATCTTTTAAAACCACAGGCACATAAATGGCAATCCAGTGATGTCTTGGCAATAATGAGGAGGGGTGTTTGTCTGGCAACTCAGTATTTTATGTCACTTCTAATGGAAAGGAAATTTTTTACATATTTGCATAAATATATACTTACGTCTAGTTTGTATGTGCACGTGTGTATGTACATGTATGTGCATATATTTACACGTACATATACGTGCATTACATTCGTGTATATGTGTACTGTATTTTTACACTCAGATATAGTCTTGTCTCTGAAATACACTCTTTCTTCTACCTGCTTCCGTCTTTGTATAATAAAGTCTGTCATGGAATCTTATCAAGCTTCTCACTGCACTACCAATTTCTCAGTAGCCAATTCTGAGTTTGCGTTCCCTCGCAGGCATTTTATC